AAAAAAAAAAAAAAAAACTGAGATTTGTCTACAGCCATATGCACGTGCTTTTGATTTGTCCCACATCGAATCGATACTCAAAAGCTACTGGAAATTGATTATAGAGGAAATTACACCCAGCCATACTTTTTAACTTATCATTTTCATAATTCCAGATTTAACTTTGATTTTTCATTAATCAGGTTTTGAGGAATTAAATAAATAATTTTTTATTCATAATAACCAACCCGTTTTTTAAGTGAAAATTGGAGAGAGTTAAAATTTATTCATTTGATATAGATCTATAACCGCCTAGAACCGCTAAACACCTTAATTCTCGCACCTTCCTAAAACCACGGAATTAGTTATTCCCCAAATCATTTCATTCTCTTCATTTTCACATCAAAACAAAAACCCAAAATCAATTATTGCCTACATTGCACACATTTACAAGTACGAAGACGGTGATACTGTGAAGGGTGTTCAAAGAAGGGAAGAGGTGACTCAGACTTGGGTTGCGTTTCTGCGAACGGTGTATAGGAGAAATGGCGTTAACGCGAAGTTGTGACCGAACAGCACGTTTCGACGCTGGTGAACCCTCGGAACCGCACGTCGCAGCAGGGGAAGGGCGAATGTGGCGAAGGAGTGCCGTGAAGAAAAATCGAACATCCCTAATAAATCGCGTCCGAACTTAGAGAAGAGGGCTCGCAAGGATTACCCTAGAACTCCTGTAAACCCGCGAAAATCGAATCCGGCAATTTCTCTACATTTGTTGTTGATTGTGACCTAGATTTTTATGTATTGTGACCTAAACGTTCATTTGTGATAAAACGGTTCTAACTAAGTCACAATTCTTCTTCTAATGTCATGTATATATTTTCTAATGAACATTGGGTCACAATCAGTTGATGTGCATACTTATTGATGTATGATATCGTTTGTTTTTATGTATTGTGACCCATGAATGGAAATACATTATATCAGAAGATTCATGATTTCTCGGGAAGATTACAACAAATGTGGCAAAAAACTTACTGACAAATTTCACTTCTAAGTTCAATGCGGTCCAAAGGTCTATCCTGACAGAAACTTGCTTCTCTCATTTCATGGAATGTAATGAAATTATTTTGCAACCACAACTTATACACTATTTTTTGATGAGGGAAGCGTTGCAACCTAATCAAATGAGACGTGGTTCAAAGTTGGTAATAGATTTTTGAGATTTTTGATGTACGAATTTTGTTTAGTCACAGGGCTTAGATGTAATGGTGATGATTTTAGGAAAGATATTGATAACGTTCCGTCTAGGATAAAGGTCACATATTTTGGGCACTTGAAGTTGGTGACAAATGAGGATATGAGGGATGTGTTTATGAATGTGTCTGATGTATACGATCGCAATGTTGTGGGGATTGAGATTTTATATTTGATTACGTCATATTTGTTTTCAACATCTTATAAAAGGGTGGTTGAAAATTTTTTGTTTGCATTGGTTGAGGACTTTGATCTTATGGAGTTGTTTCCTTACGGGAATGACTTATTTCAAATGTCTCTAAAATCTTTGAAAGAGGGGTTAAGTCACAGGAATCCACATTATAGGTTGAAGGGGTTCTTTGTTGCATTTCAAGTGTGGATATATGAGTGTATTCCTGGACTAACTGGTCATGTGACGAGTAGGATGGGTAACAGTTATCCTCGTATTGTGAATTGGATGTCGGAGAAACAGTCGTCTGCTGTTAAGTTGGAAGAAGATGTCTTCTCCACTCATGATGTAAGTCTTTATTTTATCTATTTTTTACAGAGGTCACAAGGTCACAGAATAGATACATAAATCACAAGGCCACAGAGTTGTACACATATGTCACAAGCACTCATATATGTATTCATGGATCACACACTAGTCGCTTTACATGTACTGTGTTCAAAACCATCAAGTCACAATGAATTTGTAGCTTCTGAGTTATACACCACTAACAAGTGTTTCATTTGCAATATTCTCACATCTTGAAATTTGTTTTGTTGTTCCATCTGACATGGAGTTGGAGGCTCAATATATGAATGATGTTTCGTACACCAAACCTATGCAACCACGTGCTCATGGAGATCGGAACAACAAAAGCTCAGGCTCAAGTGCTGGCACATCCCATACACAGTTGCTGATGATTACAGATGACAGAAAGGGACACTCCAGT